TTAGTCAATAACAATTACAATTTTTGGACACCACAGAAACTCAGAATTACAGATAAATAAACAACCACTCATAGTGAAACGCCACATGAAGCGAAAAAATGACCAACCACGAAGCATACAACACACTAAAACAAAACAAAAGCCATCAATTGAACGTCGGGACAATCTAACGCACGAAGATCTAACGCACCACACACACCAATTGCGCATCCAAACTACACCGTTTTTAAAAAAAGGCACAAAATTTTCCCAAATTCAAACTGAAAACTTCGGATTGATTCTAAAATCTGAGTTTTCTGAGAAAAATACTGATTGTCGTCAGCGATATTCTTGAACAAGAACAAGATTTCCTCTTAAAATCGAATTTTTAGTTCTACTGAACAAACTTTAATAACATTTTTTTAATAGGTCAAATTTCAAAGAAGCAAAACGATTTTTGCCCAGATTTTTCAAAAATCCACAAAAACAAGCTATGAACATTTTAAAGTGATATAATTAGCTGGTAACAGTGTAATTGCAAGTCTAAAAAACTTGCTTCATACAACTTGAGAACAGTTTCAAAAATTCTGGAGAAAAATTTTGTCTGAGCCTTTAATGTTCTGCAGCAAAAGTTGGGAAACGAAAAATCACCAATCCGACTGAATAAAACTAGTGATTCGCAAAGAGTGTAAATTATTTCATGAGTTATAGATAGAAGTCAATTGATTTTTGTTAAATGCGGTTTTAAATAAGTAAATCAGTTCAATCGTAGATTTAGTTCAAGTAGAAAGCTGAGATGTCTTTTTTAGGCTTCAAAATTCCGCCTCCCTTGAAGTGTCTTCAATTTTCAGATCGTTATTATGTCTGGATATGACTACCCATTTACAGTGTATGAGACGAAGGAGAGGAAGAGTAGGGCGGAGTCGGGTAGAGCACCACGTCTGCCTCCACATGGCGAGGTGCGAAGGTCCAGTAGGCGGGACGCTGTCGACCGGGAGGACCTGCAGGGTTTCTTCGATGCAGTTACCAGCGGAGATCTGGGTTTCACTCCGATTCCTGTAAAGTCGTTGGATGAGATCCAGTCTTCAAGGAAGGAAGCTGCAATCGTGGATAGGGCAGTTCTGCGGTTTCCGAAAGCGGAGACTGTGAGTAGCATTTATTCCATTGTATCATAGTAGTAGAGTATAGCGAGTTTGCATCAATTGTTTGTTTTGTTTTAGAAGCAACTTAGAAGTCTTAAGCGTATTAGTGACCTCAGCGTAGAAGGGTCATTGTGCACTGGCTGGGAGGTTGGAGTTAACTGTCGAGAGACTCCTATTGTGACAGCTAAGGGTGTTATTGGCGTCATGTCTGGAGGTCAGACCAGATGGCCGAAGCAGGTCTTTTCTTCTCTTCTCCAAGGTATTTTTGTAGAGTCCTCGTCCTTCCGGACTTTCCATCAAGACTTGGATGAGGAAGATGATGCTGTTTTGTGTGTTCTGGGGGGGCCGAAAGTTGTGGCTGATGACATCTGAAGTTAATCTCTCTGGTGAACTTGAGCGCCTGGCCGGTAGCAATGATTCGGAGATGGGGTTCACTGATGCTGCTAAGTATCTGAGGAACCTTGGTTCACAGCAGAAGAAACTGGTCCGATATGGTGTTCTTGAGAAGGGGAAAAGTTTGTATCTTCCATATGCGTGGTGCCATGCAGTTCTGACTCTCTGCGACAAAGAGAGGGTCTGCTGCATGTACTATGCGGAGATGCAAACTCGACTTTCCTTGGTAGCATCTGCGTGGAAGCGCTGCCAGCAACACTGCAGGGTCAACAAGCGAAGAGGACCAGATGACAGCGAATCGCATGACAGCGAATGACTGTTCAACGGTAAATATGTAAGCAATTATTCAATAAATGAACTAAATGTGACTGCACCATAAGTGAGGAGTATACAAGTGAAGTATTAACGGTACGAGTCATGAGCGAAAGTTTGTCCTAGCTGTTTTCAGACAATAATTACATTTTGGGTCATGAGGGTACAACCTCATACGAATTTTAATGCTGGGAATTTACAACATTGGGAATTTACATGAAAGTGGTCAATATGAACGATTCAGGCCATAATGCATTGCATAGGGGGTAATTTAGGTTCCTACTTTCAAAAGAGTCTTGGGGGTACTACCACTTAAAATTTGAAAACTGCACATTTTTGATATTTTTCGATTTTTAGCACTATAAAGTTCTTGTTTTAAATGAACTGCACAATGGATATGACTTGGTTGCTATACTGGTAGCTTCCGCAGCTTCGCGACTGGGCGTATGTTTTCACCAGTTGTGGTCTTCACTTTTACCACTCGAACAATCGGGTCATTTCCAGGATAAATTTCTATGATTCGTCCAGTTTTCCATTCTAGCGGTCGTTCATTGTCTTCAGCAAGTAGGACTAGGTTGCCAACTTTAAATTATGGGCCATCCGTGAACCATTTTTTCCGTATTTGTAGCGTTATGAGGTAATCCTTTTTCCAAACTTTCCAGAAATCCTTGATCATATTCTATAGTAGTCGATATCGTACATTGGTTGAAACTTGGATGTCAGCAGAGGGAAGAGTTAGCAATGATTCCCCTATCAGAAAATGAGCGGGTGTCAGCGGAGTTGGGTCGTTAGGATCACTTGACATTGGATACACTGGTCGTGAGTTTAAGACAGCTTCAATTTGATTAAGAATTGTAAGAAATTCTTCAAAACTGAGACGTTGCAGTCCAATAAGTTTTCGCATATGTCTCTTCATACTTTTTACAGCCGCTTCCCAGAGTCCTCCGAAGTGAGGAGCACGAGTAGGAATGGTGACCCATTCAGTTCCTTGGCTATTGACGAAACTAACAACTGATTTGTCCGTTCCATTTTTGTCGAGCAGTTCCTTGATTTTGATCAGATCATGTCGAGCCCCGATAAAATTCCCTTAAGATCTTCTCAGGTTTGCCACGGCGTGCAGTAAATCGTTTCAATGAAAGGACGCATGCTTCTTTGGTTAGACGAGTAACCATTTCCAAATGAATAGCTTTTGTCGCGGGACAAACAAAGACGGCAACATACATTTTTGAGACCCCTGCTTCCTTAATTTCAAAGGGACCAGCAAAGTCTATTCCACATTGAGAAAATGGTTTTGCGGGTGTTATTCTTTCTGTAGGAAGATCAACCATGAATTGAGAAGTAGGTTGCTGACTAAATCGGACACATCTCATGCATCTTCTAATGAACTGTCGAACTAGATCACGGCCTCCGATTATCCAAATTTCCTCTCTCATTGTGTTCAGTACTAATTGCCCCCCGCCATGAAAAGTATCTTCATGATATTTGCGTATAAGTAGGGATACTAAATCAGATTTTTTTGAAACGAGTATTGGAAACTTCTTGTCTGTTGGGTAGTTCGATTGTGAAAGTCTGCCTCCAACTCTTAGTAGATCGTAATCCTTGTCAAAAAACGGACTAAGATTGAGTAGTTTCGATGTTTTACTCAGCTCCCTTTTCACCTTCAGACAATTTAGCTCTGATTTGAAGTGTATTTCTTGGTCTAAACGAAGAATTAGCATTTTTGCCATGATTCTATTTTTAGGACTAAGACTATCTTCTTCAAGTTGTACATCAGATGTCCGCTTAGATCTGAGCCGCTTCCGATAGTTTGTCGATATTCTATGCTTAAGATGTTGAACAAATGATAGTACATAGCATGCGATGCGTACTGTCTTGATCCAAGTGCTGTAGTCCTTTAAACGAAAAATTCCATCCGTCATTTCTTCGTTTTGAGCATGATTTGCGAGAATAGTTCGAATTTGTTCACTTTCTGCATTAGTTTTGGCTTTGACGGTTCGTTTTTCAGGTGCTTCAACTAGAGATGGTAGTAGGTTGGGCCAGTGCCTTTCATCCTTGGTCAGCCAATCTGGTCCATTCCACCAGAGTGAGGAAGATATTAATGTGTCAGCTAATACACCACGAGAGGCTAAATCAGCTGGATTTACTGCTGTTGGCACGTGTTTCCAATCACTTCTGGGTAGGGTCTCTTGTATTTGTGAAACTCTGTTTGCAACAAAAGTGTTCCACGTTCTTGGAAGTTGAGCAAGCCATTGCAAGACAATTGTTGAATCAGTTCAGGCGTGTGAAGTTATCTTGAGATTTGTTTTCCTCAAAATTGAATGAACTGATTTAAGAAGTTTGGTAGCTAAACTTGCACCGCAGAGCTCTAATTTGGGAACAGAGATTGCTTTGACCGGAGCAACCTTTGTTTTGGAGGTCAGTAGATACGCAAAAGTTTTGCCATCATCATTGGTAATTCTTGCATAGATTGCGGCTGCATATGCTTTTTCGGAAGCATCACAGAATACGTGAAGTTGAACCTCCTTTATTGGATGTGAGCTCATAGATCTTGGTATCTGTAGTTCCAGTAGTTGAGGCAAAGTTCCGGTGAGCTCATACCATTTTTCCTTGGATTTCTGATCGACTTCAGAATCCCAATCAAAACCTTGGACCCATAGCTGTTGCATGAGACATTTGAAATTGATGATGAATGGAGCTAGCCATCCCATCGGATCAAACAATTTTGAAATTGTGGACAGAAGAGTCCTCTTTGTAAGCAGTTTCAGCTCTGGTAAGGCAGTTGAAAAATAAAAGATGTCCTTATTGGGCTTTCAACTGACTCCTAGCGCCTTGATTTTGTATTCGTCAGAGAAAAGTTCCAGCACATCCGATTTTTCGCGGAGATGTTCTGGCAATACTTCAATTATTTTAGCATTGCTTGAAGTCCATTTTCGTAGAGGGAATTCATGAGAGTTCAGCTCTTCGCATAAATCAGAGATGAGTCTTTCTGCTGCATGCTTATCATTAGCGCCACCGAGAAAGTAGTCTACATAGAAACAATTTTTAAGACTTTCTTTGATCATTGGGTTCTTAGATTGATCTGCTACTTCATTGAGGCATCTTGTTGAGTGAAAAGCTGACAAAGCTATTCCATATGTAACACGTGTCATCCTGAGATGCTTGATTTCATTCGATTTATTTGATCTCCAAAATGCGATGAAAATCCTTCGATTTGTCCTCTAGAGCAACTTGTCGGTACATTTTTGCGATATCTGCTGATAAAGCATTTGGATAGAACCTGAAGCGCATGATTATCGAGTAGAGGTCGTCTTGTACCGTGGGACTAACCATCAAAGTGTCGTTGAGTGATTGTCCGGTTGATGTTGTTGCAGATCTGTCGAAAACTACACGTAGCTTTGTGGTAGTAGAATCTTCCTTGAAAACGCAGTGATGTGGCAGATAATATACGCTATCAACTGGCTTTTCGATTTCTCCAGGCGGTATGTACTCCATATGCCCCATATCGAGAAGTTCGTCTATGAATGCGGTATAGCGATCTTTTAGTTCTGGATTCTGTTCCAGTCGTCGCTCGAGATAATTGAATCTGCGTTTTGCTTGTGCTAAATTGTCGCCAAGTTGACTATTGGGCTTGAAAGGCAGCTGCATGGTGAATCGTCCATTTTGTAGTATGGCTGTTTCCTTAAAGTGAGATTCACATCGATCTTCTTCTGTTGTTGTCTTTTTGAAATCAGGAATTTCTTCTAATTCCCAAAACTTCCTTAGACTATCGTCAATAGACACATGAAATGACTTGAAGAAGGTTGTTGGAGAACCGGGTGTTCTGCCGCTAATCATCCAACCAAATAGAGTGTCACGTGTATAACGCTTGTCTGTAAGCTTAATCTTGTCGCAGCCAGCAATGTCGTTGTAGACTTCTCAGCCTAGGATTATATCGATTTCCTTTGGTTTATCAAAGTCTGGGTCCGAGAGCTTAAGACGTGTGATATCCAAACTGTTCGGTATATTTACCCGTTCTCTGGGCAGGTAGCCAGAAAGTTTTTGAAGAGTGAAAGCTTCAATATGTAGAGATTGATTCTGAGAATCCTTTGTTTCCAGATTGACAGAACCAGCTTTCACAGTTTTTGCTCCTCCGCCAACTCGAGTTAGTTGAAGGGTCAATTTCTTGATTGGTAGCTTGAGTCGGTTAGCACAGCTGGTTGTAACGAAACTGCATTCAGATCCGCTGTCCAGTAAGGCTCGACAATTGTGATAACCGCCATTTGCAGTTTTCACCTCAATTAGTACAGTTCCCAGTATGGTAGTGGCACCGGTAGTACCCCCGTGACCCGCAAACTTATTTTCAGGTCCCGGTTGCTTGTTTGGGTCTGTATGGATGTGAAGTAACGAGTGATGACCCTTTCGACAGGTTTGGCACGTTGACTTCGACTTGCACTCATGATTTTGGTGTCCAAGGGACAGGCAATTGAAGCATAATCGCTTTGATTTGGCTTCTTGTCTTCTATTGGAAATAGACATTTCCTGAAATTTTGTGCATTGATACACGCGGTGATCACCACTGCAGCATGGGCAGATGATCGTCTTAGCAGAGTTCGTGTGGTATGTCTGTACCTTGTCATCTTTCTTAGAGTTTCCAGATTGGTCTGAATTTCCTTGACGATTTTTTCTATGAATTGAAGGTAACTGGAGGTCCTTCGTAGCTTCTAGGGCGCGAGATCGTTCCTCCAAGAACTTCTTCATCTGTTTGATTTTTGGCACGTCACTTCCCACGCAGGAAAGTTCCCATTGTCTTCTAGTTTCAGGATCTAATTTCTTGGCCAAAACGTGAACCCAGATCAAATCGCATTGATCAATTTTTAGTCCAAGTCCTGTCAATACCATAGTGTTTTCCCTGTAGGTATTGCAGCGGATGACTCATGCTTCATTGGAGTGAATTCAAAAATTGCTTCCAAGTGAGCGTGTGAGATCATCTTGTCATCAGCATATCGATACTTTAGAAGTTGCCTTGCGACTGAGTAGTTCGCGTTTGTAGTAGGCAAGTGGGATAGCAAACGAAACGGTTCATCCTTGAGGGCACCCTTTAGGTATTGCAGTTTCTGAACATCAGACAGCGATGCATTTGAGTGAACTGCTCCATCAAAGGAATCTAAGAAAGGTAGCCATTGATCATACCTTCCGCTAAATGTTGGCGAATTCAGTTTCGGCAACTTCAGGCAAGTATCTTGGTTTCGGCCAGCACCACGTTGGGAAGTGGATTTGTAGGATCCTGTTCCGCTTGCGCTGTCGTCATCTTTGACCGATTCAGTTGAATATTTTCCTCGGTCATCTAACATAGTTGTGATCATTTCCATCAAACAATCTACTTGAAGGTAGATTTTCTCAGCTTCTTCCAATTCAACTTCAAGTGCATCTTCATCATCGTTTAGAACATTTGAAATTTGCTGATTAAGCTCTTCCAGTTCCTTTTTCTTTCGTTCGCACATCGTGAGATTGGCCTTGAGAGTTCCAATTTCCTTGTAGGTTAGAGCAGATGCCTCTTTGTTGAAGATTGCTGAGACGGCATTTTCCGATCGGGTAATGACACCGATGTTAGCACTTCTTGATCGCTTCAAAGCAGGAAGAGTGAGCGTCACGTTGCTCATGTCACTAGCAGGTGATGACATTTTTAACTTTCCTCTTTGTTTCTAATCTTTGGTTCGTTCGTGAGTCGCGTTGCACCAAAAATGTTGTGCAGCAAAAGTTGGGAAACGAAAAATCACCAATCCAACTGAATAAAACTAGTGATTCGCAAAGAGTGTAAATTATTTCATGAGTTATAGATAGAAGTCAATTGATTTTTGTTAAATGCGGTTTTAAATAAGTAAATCAGTTCAATCGTAGATTTAGTTCAAGTAGAAAGCTGAGATGTCTTTTTTAGGCTTCAACATTTAAATCTCACCTCTCAAGGATTTAAAGGAAACTTACTACAGAAAAATATGCAGCAATTTGTAGAGTAATGGTCGATTGGTAAAGCGGATTTGTCAGTTCGGAATTTTGTGTTTTGTCAACAAGCGATCAATGGATAAAGAAGAATTAACAACTATGGATACATGGGAAGCACGGAACACATGCCAAAAACAAGCGCATTTTTGTATGGTCGTGAATTGATCCACAGTTCAATTAATTTTCCAAATTTCCTTTCTAACCATATCGATAATTTTTGGCAAAAGCAACCTGGATAGAAACAGCAAAAAAAATTCAAAGAGGTTTAGCCTATTCCATGAAATTTATTTCTTTTACATGTTCGCAATTAAACATATGCAGTTTTGCAGACAATTTAAAAGATTATTTAATTTTGTAGTAGTAGAGACCAGGGGCGGATCTAGGATTTTCTCGATGGGGGTGGATTTTCAAAAAAAATTCGAAAATTTTGTCGAACTTTTTTCTAGGTCGACTAAATTGACTTTCCGAGCCCTGCCAAAGCACGAAAAAGACCCTGTTTTGGTCAGATTCTCTGCACCGTAGGCAAAATTTTGAAAAAACAGGCCAAAAAAGACTTTTTTTGGAAAATGTTGACCAAAAAATTGGGTTGTTTTTTGGCGCCCCCCCCCTCAAACTTAGTATATATTGGCGCCAAAGGCAGCTTAGAAAAATTTTTGGGTACGTCACCAAAAATGGATATCTCAAAATAGTACAAAGGGTACAAACGATAGTCGAATTGCTGAGAGTAGGCGTCCGTGTGAGGTTGATATTGAGCATTCGTAATGATGGAGCCAGATTCTTATCGATCTTTAAAACAAAAGTGGAATTTTGTAGGAAACAAAACTTTTAGTAGAAAAGCCGTCAAAATTACAGCCGACAGCCGTTAACCTAAAAACCAAACAAAATTTACTGCTTTTATAGGTTTAGCGAGTGTTTTATATATTGTGAATGCAAGACCCAATTCAAGAACAAAACCGACAGAGCTTAAGTCGACAACCATTAAGCAGAAAATTTGGAATACAACACTAAGAAAACACAAAAAACAAGCAGATAGATATTAGGATGGAATCCGCTAAGTTAAAAATTTTTTCCTAATTTGAAAACCGTGATACTATCGAAAAAAAATTTAAACTACCAAATATTTCATATATTTGTGTCATTTGGTCTGAAATAAAGTTTTTTTAAACAAAAACAACATGCCAATTGAAATAACTGAACCGTAAATTTGCATCAAAACAAAAATTACCACAGGAATTTTTATTCCGTGCTCATTGACCGACTTAAAAAAAATTTGAAAAGCTTTAGAAAAAAGTTTGTTTGTAAAAGTTTTATTAAAATTTTTTGAAAAAGCAACAAAAGATTCGCAATAAAGTAATAGCTCAATTACTTTCACTGATGGCCTTCAGAAAAATAGAAGAAAGCTGAATCTTCAAAAATCAAGATTGATTGATTGAATCAAAAAATGACTGAACGGAAAAAAAACGTAAAAAAACGGACGATTGCCCAAAAAAGCAGAGAATTTTTAGTTTGAAAAAAAAAAAAAATTCCTGCTCAATTTGAACTACAAACCTTTGTGTTACTTCTACGCTAATTGCGCTAGATATTTGATTGATTTTGAAATTGTTATAACAAAATCAATTTTTTTTTTCCAAAAAATGGCAATCTTTTTCTCACTTTCAATTTTTTCAATTGTACAACGGAGGAGAGTTCAAAAGGTGATAATCTTTTATGAACTTCCTATTAAAGATCAATCTTAATAAAACCGGTAGCACAAATAGATATTAGGAAATTAGGCCGACAGAAATAACGCCGAACGACTTCAGTGTGTAAAGCTACCAAAAGTTATCGAATCTGATAAAATATTAATAGACAGCTCTTGGCGTAAACACGGGGCCAACACACTAAGCATGCTATCAATTACTTATGCGTATATCACCATTGGTTAGAAAATATACTGAAAATCATTCGAACAATCTGTGAACAAAGTCTAGTAACCGCTTGCAATACGTATGCTTATCGCAAAAATTAAGAAACATTTAACAATATGAAGTTTGACAACGTTTTGGAAAATTTTTCAAGCGTCGATACATAAGTTTGTTTTAGTTAGAATTTGATATGATTACAATTCTCAAACAAATCAAAACCTCTATAGATTGTTTCGAATTTCTAAAGCCCTGTTTTTAGATAATTTGACTCTTCAAATGCTTCTGTGAGATATTTTTTTTTGATACCCCAGCTTCGATAACTTTCGTATCTTCACTGGTGTAGAGAACAAACAGCCTTCTTTTCAACCTTAAATTTCTTTGTTTTCATCCTCTTGTCGCTCAAAGTTTTTTTAAATCGTCAGTTTGAGCAAAAGGGATGCGCAGTTGTGCGATACTTGCGATATCTCCGTTTTTGCGATAAAGCTGACCTCAATACAAAATTGAAAAATTTCGAATCGGTCAAAAAAACAGCAAGTGCTTTACTCCAACTATCGAAAAAAACTAAAATGCAAAAAATTGTCTTTCATTTTTGTCATTTCTTAAAATTAGTTTTTCAGAACAACGTAAAATTAGTTTTTCAAATCAGAAATTCAAATGTTAGGGGAAACAGGAAGAGAGCCGGAAATGAATCAAATGCACTGAACCTGGGATAGTGTAACCCTAAAGCTGGTAGTGCTTGCTCGATGAACATTGAAACGTTATGTATGCCTCAGTGTAAAATCCTACTGGTCCTTTAAAAAGACTGACTAGCATTTTACATCAAAACTACTTCTTCTGTTTTTAAGCAATTTCTCGGACTTTTTGAAGTTCGCTTAAATTAGATTTTGATATGATTACAATTCACAAGCAAATCAAAACCTGTATAGGTTGTTACGAATGTCCAAAGCCGTATTTTTAGATAAATGATTCTTCAAATGCTTCTGTGAGATAGTTGTTTTTGAAACGTAAGCTTCTTCAACTTTCGTATTTTCACTGGTGTAGAGAACAACACTCCATTATTTCAAAAATCTAAAGCCAACTTTATAGATTATTTGAAGTTCTCAAGTCTTTTCGAAGATACCCAACTAAATTTATAGAGCATGGACTTACTAAATACACTACTGCTTTAGAAAAAAAGCCAAAAAAGTTAGAAAAAGCTCGTTGAACTGACTTGTTTTTTGAAAAAAACTTCAACTTTTGAGTTTCTAAATAAAAATTATATGACCATAAAGCTTTTAATTTCAAGAACAGTTTATGATTGAACTGATATAAAATTAACTCAATTAGAGACAACTGGATCAATAGGTAAAGTTTTTAGTTCGCAAGGCGAACTGAAAAACAATTCAATTTCGAAATTAGTAGTCGATCACTCTTTGCCTGACCATTTAACTTTTGCTCGTTAGTGGAGTTTGCTCCGATAGTGGAATTTGCATTCCTTTTACAGAGAGGCGAAGCTGCACTTCGCAAACACAAGCAGAAAATTGACCAAAAACAGCTTCATAAAGTGAATTAGGAAAAATTGAAAACAGCCTCGAATTAGTATGATTTTGCTACGTATTGGCTTCGAACCTGTGACCTAAATAATAGGAATTTCACGCCCTCGAACGCTTAACAATCGACAAACATCAATCACAAATAACAGCAGCTACATATGCTAAAAAAAACTGACAATTCGATGCAACAAAAGTGGCATCAAATACAAACAGACACAGTTTTGTAAGTAATAATTTGGAATATAACAAACTGAAGGCATGCACACTAATTTTTCACTAAAATGTAAAGCATCAAGCCATATTATGTATAAATTACGCATTTCAAGAAATTGCCAGATATAATGAAATGAAAAAATTTTTAAATCGAGTTTTTATACAGAGGCGAAGCGGAGCTTCACGCCACTAGCGATACAACACGAACATAAAAAATAAGAAGTTGAAAGAATTAGGTGTACAAAAATGTTCGTAAATCTTGATAAAAAATAATTAGGGGCCCAGCTTAAGCTAGTAGTAACTTTATGCTATTTTTGGAGCTTTTTATGCTGCTGCGGTCAAAATGGGTTTCAAAAATTGGACTTTGCCTAAAAGCTTAGTTGTTTCTCTTATAACATAATTGAGACGACTGAAAATTTTTGAGAAATAGGAATCTTCCCTGAGATATCAATTTTTTAAACAAAATTTTTGAGTCACCGCCTCTGAAGGAAAAGTATCTCAAGCGGTTTTATCGATTGAACCCTTTATCTCAGATTTCAAGAGGTAGTTTCTAAGGAAAGTCAAAAATATTAAAAAACGGTCAAATGTTCACAAACTTGACTTTTCGAAATCCATAACAATTTTCTGCAAAAAAGGGATGTGACGGCGTAAGCAGAGATTATTTCCAATATCGTATTTCTCGATTGAACACTTTACCTCCGATTTAGCTGGGTAGTTTTTCGGGAAAACTAAGAATAAACGTTTCAAAAACCAAGTATTAACTTTTTGAGGACCATAAAGTTTGTGTTTAGAAAGTTGGGAAGAGTCGATTATTCAGGGCAGCTTCCCACAACTAATTGATTCGATTCAACCCAAAATATCGTATTTGGGAGAAGAGTTACTGAGAAAACAAGAAAAAAAATATTCCCCGCAAAATTTTTTTCGAAAGTTGGAGACTGTAGGGCAGGGTAAACGCAAAACTACACGAGTAAATTGACTAAGGCGATACAGCCTAGGCCAAAAATATTTATTTGAAAAAAAAATTAATAAAAAAGTCATCACGACCAATACTATAAGAGTCATCGCTACGTTCATCGAATTTTAAAAATCAGGCTTCTTTCAAACCTTACGTTTCTTCTTTTCCTCCCCTTGTCGCTTGAAACTTTAAGCTAATTCGCTTCTAATAAACAAAACATCTAACTTAACAAGATATCCTGTAGACTGCAGGTGGAAAAACTTCGGACGAAGTATTCAATTAGATTTCAAAGTGAATAGATAGATTTTTATAAAATCAAGTTTAATACAGCAAAAACACGAACATTTGGATCAAAAACTGACCAAAGGAAAGGCATAACAGCTTAGCTTTTTCAATGGGGCAAATTTATACGCTATTGAGCATACAATTGCTGCAACATCGACACAAATCAAACTCTCACGATTAGTAAAAAAGAAAAATAAAGGCGTTTTAAACAGAGTCTGATTTTTCGATACTGCGTAGAAACACATTTGAGGTATGAAACGAACTATTAATTAATTAAACTAACCTTCAATTTGAATTTTTATTTTTATTTCGAATTGCAATTTGACAATTTACTAGTTGGCCGAGGAAAGAAATACAGATAGAACTACGATTGCAAATTTTGAACGGCATGCCCTACTTACAAATGACATCAAATTACATCATTAGCTAAATTTTTCTTCTCCGCGCAAAGCACTTGAGAAACTCACTTGCAGCCCCATTTTGTAAGTTGAGTGTTCACAAAAAAATAAAAATTTTCGTTTCCAAATTGACATTAATTCTAGGGCCTTAACAGGTTTAGCAGCCTGGGCGTGTCAGATATTTAGTTTAGTGAAAATATAAGTTTTTTTAAAAAAGTTTGGACTTTTCAGTTTGAGGCAACTACGTCAGCGACGACTCTTCAGATTTCTGCTGCACCATTTTGTTTGCTGTCGTTGTATTAGTTTTGTTATTCGTGGTTTTCGACACCGATTGTTGCGAGGGACTCATGCTATTGGAAAGTTGAGACAACTGGGAATAGTGGTTAGTTGTTGTGTTAGCACCCCTTCCCACCACACCGCCTTCTTCTTTCCAATCGCATTCCATGTTGTCAGTTTTAACTGATGAAACCGAGGAGCGTGTTTTCGGCGTCGACATCATTCCCGAGTTCGAACTGGACCCCAACACATTGCCTCCCCTATGCAGCATTTCCATTCCCCCCAACGCCCCACTTCCCCGGCGGAGCGTAGCGGCGGGTGTGAGGCCTGCAGCAGCGTACGAGGGTAAAGCTTGGAATGGAATGACTTGTGCCATCATCACTAGGGGCTGCTGAGCGCTAGAGGCTAATATTGTCGGAGTTCCACTGTTGACAGTGTTGCGGCTACCCTGGCTGCTGTAACTGGCGGTGGGGGAGTGGGACACATTATGTTGCTGCTGGATCTGCTGCTGGTAGTGATTCAGCGTCGCTTTATTGAGGTTCTTGTTGGAAAGAGTCTTAGTCATATGACTTGGTGTCCAGACATACGTAGCAGTGGAACCACCAATGCTGTTACTCGCAGACTGATTTGAGTTGGAATTTTGGCCTGCGGGTCCGGTTGGAATGGAGAATTGATGAGATTGAAGTTCAATGTAGTTGTGAGGAAGCGACTGCTGCTGCTGGTGAAGAGCAAACCTTGAATTGCGTTGCAGCGAATGCGTGCTGTACCTGCGCGAGTTCTGCGGCATTACGTAATTATCCGGCTGAAAAAAAGTTAATTGACAGTTAGTTCTATAGACGACAAATCGTCAACCGAAGAACCTGACAGTCTGTAGCCCACATTGATAACAAAAAGATCGACCGACATTTACCTTTTTCATCGCCCATTTTCAGTCAGAGGTGAGAGGGGAAGGCAAAAAAAATCCACCATCCACCCCCCTTCACCACGTTACTGAGTAAAGCGTATTTTCACCCTGTCAAAAGAAGCTGTATATTTCAAAATCAAAGCGACTTAAAGGTTTATTCTGTGTATACTTTTATACTTCCCATACCTTCAACACTAACAAACGAGTTTTAAGAAGTAGCAGTAAGATTATTCATTCTCTAATTTAAAGCTCTTTTTGGGCAGGGAAAAGGATCAATCCCATTCCGTATATTTTATAATGAATGTGATCTATCTAGACTGACCGCCAGCGAGCAGTGACTTCTGCGAGGCAACGAGTGGTAGACAGTTCCGTTGAATGCGTTATGATGCACGACAGCAGTTGCCCCTGGCATGCGAGGAGTGGTTCCGGGTGGGGGCACCATGGCGATGTAGGGAGTCGAAGCTCTCAGGGTCCCCATGAGTGGAATGCGGGGGTTCACAATCGCTCCTCCGGGTGAAAAATGAGCCCCAGTCGACACTTTATGTGTGTGATGTATGTAATTGTTCTGAGCGCTAGGGTGGGGATGGTAGTGGTCTGGGGGGAGGGTTTGAGGGTAGTATTTGCGGATGCATACTATAACGGAGACTATCAACAAAATAACAATCGCAGCAGCACATACGACTATGATCAGCACCATCTGAATCTGTTCCTGGAAATCTAAACAAAAAACGGTCATATTTAAGGAATGGTTTTGTGGAAGCTCAAAAACCATCCCTTTTTTCGCCGCGCCAATCCTCCCAAAAATTAATTTTAAAAAAGCTATTTATTATCTTCTTGTCTTTTTTCATCCAATTTATTTATTGGGCATAATCCGCTATCAAATCTTTTGAAGCCAAAACATAGCCAACAGATTTTGGTAAAGAGTCAATGAACGCAAGCAGGGGCGGATCTAGGATTTTCTCGAGGGGGGTCGGATTTTCGAAAAAAAATTCGAAAATGTTGTCGACTTTTTTTAGGTTGACCAAATTGGTGTTCTGAGCTCTCCCAAAGCACTAAAAAACCCTGCTTTGGCTGAAATTTCTGCGCCGCAGGCAAAACTTTGAAAAGACGTTTTTAGGCACTTTTTGGAAAATCATTACGAGGCCACACTGTGCACTGGATAGGAGCACAATTTTGTGTCTGTATGTTCCTGGATTCCAGAGACAAGTCTTCAAATATGTTCCAAAATGTAGGTGGATTCCACAAACAAAATTTCAGTGGATTCCGCATACATATACCTGTAATGTAAATATTGTCGGCACATTTGTTTTGTTGCGGATTCCGCAACAAGCAAATATAGCTAGTTGTTCTGGATTCCGTAACTGTAAGTGGATTCCGCAAAATGTAAGTGGAATCCGCAAAATGTAAGTGGAATCCGCAAATGTAAGTGGAATCCGCAAACTGTAAGTGGATTCAGAATTTTGTTTATTACTGAACTAAAATGAATAATTAAAAGCTAGAGTATTGCAAAAAGAACATATTTAGTATATATTGACGCCCCCTCAAATTTAGTATATATTGACGCCTTCAGAAAAATTTTAGGGTTCGTCACCAAAAATGGATATCTGAAAATATAACAAAAGGGGAACATATACTTGGAAAAGTCATTGCATTTATGAATGACACTTTTTTGATAAAAATTAACCCAATTTGAGAAACTGGATTAATAGATGAAATTTTCATTTCGCTGGAAAATCTGAAAAATAAATTCCACTTTCGAAACTAGACGCGGATCAAGTTTTTTGTGACCTTTATACTTTTGCTGTTCAATAATGGAGTTAGTCCTCCTTTTAACATACGAAATGAACTGACCTTTAAAAGATATCAAAAGCAAGCCAAATCGCGAAAAATTAAATTGAGCGAGATTAAAATTTAACATTTTTCCTATACAAAAAAAATCATCTCGACCTACATAAAAATCTGAACTACATTCATCGCCTCTTAAAACCAACAAATCACCAAGACCTCTATAAGAGTATTCACTACGCTAATAAGAAACTAAGAGTCACAAAAAGCTAAAGAATATATCACATATATGACGAAGTCTATGACAAACATGTATAATTTCTTGAAAACCAATGTATGTGTTTTACAAATTTTTAAGAAGCTGAAACAAAACCCAACAGAGATAGCTGATTGCGCGCGAGGAGCACAAAATATTCTAGCAATGCTCATTTTGGCGATAAAATTTAGTAATTAAAAAAACATAAACCGAGGCGAAGCGGAGCTTCGCATCACTTGCTATAGAAAAACATATGACTACGATTACCAGCTAATGAAAAGACAGCAAGTTTAAAGAAAAAAAATCAAGCAAATCGTTTTTTTTTTGTCAAAAAAACTTATAAAAATTGCATAAAGAACAAAAAATTCCTGATACAAAAAAACCTGCACCAATAGAAAGAGCTTTCAAAATGCTAAAAAGACCCTGAACCTTTCTGCGGGACCTAAGCCGACAGAAAATTAGCAGACACGAAAATCTAGAATATTAAAAAAATTTCAGTTTCGAGAGAACCATAGGTCCCGACTGAAATCAAACTTCTGTTATCTCAAGCATGGGTTTCGTCTAAAACATGGGTGTAACCACTGCACTAAAAGCAGAGAACACTCCTTGAATTTATATTAAAAAAAAACATTCAAAATTTTTCAACACAGAGGCGAAGCTGAGCTTTGCACACTTGCGATACAAAATATGAACTTTATGAAAATCAAATGGAAAAAGATCATAAAATCGTTTTTGTCAATAAAAATTGCAACAAACGCCCAAAATATCCGGAACAAAGTTGCATGCAACATTAGAAACTCTACAAAAAGCTTTAGGAATGCTATACAGAAGCCAATTTTTTTTTAAAAAAGTCCTTTCTGCAGAACTGAGCAGACAAAAAAAGCAGACATACAATAATCTATCTGCAAAACTGAGCAGACAAAAAAAGCAGACATACAATAATCTAAATTAGCCAACCAAAATTTTCTTTTTGCAAGGAAAACAAGTTCCAATTGGAAAAGAACTCCCCGGCTTTGTCGCCTCAAGTATGGGGGGTTACAGCAACTTGTAATACAGCTGAACCATCGAGCTACGGGAATAAAGGCGACAAAAATAAATAGACGGACGATAATCCGAAAAAAAGCACAACTCTAGTTTACAAAAAAGTGCCCGGCCGAATTCGAACCGCAAATCTTTGCCATCTCAAGAAATTAATTTATCTCTGCGCCAGATGGTTGATTGCATTTGAATTTATAAATACCAAGCGTTAACAAAGCCGAAAAAACCTGAGCAGAAACCCTTCATGCCCTGAGCAGAAACCCTTGATAAAAAAGACAAAAAAAAATGAAAAAAAGAAATTTTAACAAATCGAGCTGGTTAAATTACAACCAATGTAAAAAGCAAAGTTCGATTCGGCTGGATTTCTAAAATGCTAAAAACAACTGCAGCTAAAATTTTTTACAGCTTAAATAAACGATTCTTTGATGCGGCAACTAAGCCGACAAAACCAGCAGACATAATGGGCCGAAATTTTTTTGAACTGAAACAATTCCGTTTGAAAAAAAAACTGGTCCTGATCAGATTCGAACCCAGAACCTTCGAACTTCCCAGGCGTATTTGTTACCACTACGCTAGCGTGCAAGAGATGACAATTTTCGAATTCATTATGAACTAAGGTACCACCAGTTCAATGAGTCCTGTGGACAAAGTTGTTTACGGGAGAAAAAAAGTGTAGTACCCAATTACAATACCCTTGCTATCGCAATGGTAATGAAAAATGAGAAAATAATAGCAAAAAATAGGCAAAACGTCTTGGAACTCAATAAATTGCCCAAAAACGGAATACACGGAAATGTTTTTTTAAATTCGAGTAAAAAAAAATGCCCAAAACTTTAGGCAAATTTGGTGCTGCGGTAACAAGCGGGAAAAAAAGCAGACAAACAAAAATCCGACAAAGAATTTTTTGACGCGTGGGTAATTTTCCGCTTCCAAAAAAACAGCTCCTGGCGGATTCGACCAAATGACCTTGAGTCTTTATAGACAAGCGCATTAACTCTTCTCCACATGCGCTAATTCACGTCTAAACTTTAATTTCATGTGAAGCAAAGGTAAAATGATTCAAGTGATTCTGTTGAACTAGTTGTTAACCCAAAAAAAGTATTTAATTGGGTTTGATAACACTTGCTAATCGTAAGCGTAACTAATAATTAGAAAAAATGGTTGATAATAGCACAAATAATACAAAAGTCGCAGAATAATTAGATTGGAAATAAAATTCTGAAATTTACTTGACGGCGCGCGAAGAAAACCGCAAAAGTTTTGGTCGAAAATTTTACAAAAACGGAATTTTGACCTGTTTTTTTTCTTGCCTGCAGCGCAACAATTTTCGTCAAAATATAGTCTTTTAGTGACTTGGGAGAGCTCGGAAAATCAATTTGGTCAACCTAAAAAATTTTTATTTTACTTTTGAAAAATTTTGTGAAATCCCCCATCCCTCGAGAAAATCCTAGATCCACCCCTGGATAACTTAATGTTATAAATCAAGCATATGTAATTTTCGACTAAAGCAGTAGAGCTTAACTACTGCCAGGAGCAGTTAATTTGTGCACAATTTTATCGACATTTTAGATCTATGCCGACATTGGATCTATTCCGATACCTTAGGTTGACATATTTGCAAAAACTTCTGCGCTACCGGGAATTTTCTCGAAGAAAATAGTGTTTTAGGAGGAACAGAGAACTCTTTGTAAGGTTCAGACCAAAAATCGTAATTGACTAAAAATCGCGTTTACTGATCGATCAAAATTGCATGACGTACATAAGAACTTTCTGAAAAAAAAATACTATCAACTAAAATTGAGATAGGCTATCCACTAGGGTACGCTTTTGTGCCCACCTGGTGCGTGCATGGCTGGTCCCAAAGTAGCCGGAGGTACTCTGGGCAAATCTTCAGAGGGTTCGAGGACATTGGGAGGCAGGTATGTTTCTCCAGAATGACAAAAAACCGTCAGGTTGGGACACTTGCACTTGCGTCCAGATTGCGTAGCAAGACAAACGAAACCGCAGCCTCCGTTATTCACAGCACATGGGTGTACACGTGAATCTAAACAGAGACAGATTTACGAACCACTAAGAACCTTAAAATGACCCTAAATTGTCCTGAGTAATCAGCAGTTGAATTTGTTTCCAAACCAGCAACTTCCATATGAGCTTCATGAAAGAAGACCTTAAACAGCTAGAAATAGGAACTGTATAAAAAAGTATTTGAAAAACTAATTAGCATATTTAGAGATTTCTTACAGGCTGGGTGTCATTTCGGTAGCTATAAACAGACGTTTTTGTTCCGACCATTGAAAATGAGAGGAACTTTGTATTCGGGTGTTTTAGTTTTTTTGTTTTCCACGCAAAATCAGGCAACACAAATAATCATCAAAATGGGTCAAGTTACATGTCATTTAAAAGCACTTTCAGTCCTGATTCGAACATTTTTTAAAAAAAGTTATCCCAGTGTCGAGAAAAACCGGTTTGAAGTTTCGAGTTGTAGTTTATTTTCGAGCGAGTAACGCGATCGAGTTAAGTAACGTTCGTTATATCAGAATTAGTCATTTAGATAAAAAGATTGATTTTATAAAAAAAAGTTTTGGAAGCCTCATTTAGCGCTTCCTTGGCAGTAAAATTTCTCAGAGAAAAATTTAGAAATTATTGCTCAAAAAAAGAGAAACAATTTAAGATAAGTTTTTAAGAAAAATTTTGAAAGTTTACTTTTTTTGAAGACAACTGTTGTCGATTATGCCAAAATCACTAATTTTCTACGCGTTTGTAAAATTTTCTCATCGCACCATGCTCTAAAAACCGACACTAAAATTCTGTTTTGATACGAAGTCACTTTTTGTACCTTTCATGAGGCCTGTCTGTTGGAGAGGTGATACAAATGTCAAAGCAGTAAAAGATGCAGACTGGAAATTCATCTTGCATGCATCCACAGAGGAACAGGTGGGATCGAGCGTCTCTGCAAATCCAGTTCCTCCAACAGAGCCATAGAACGAATCATTCAAAGATAACCGAGACAGCGAGGACATATTCAAGTTGGGACCTAACAACTCTTCGTAGAAATCCGAACTGCGATTATCACTCGAACTCAGTCGGTCTAACAGCGAATTCTGCGTAGGTTGAAGCATCGGGTTAAACAGCGAATTCAGATTGCATTGTTTAAGAGTGACATGGGGAGCCGAGTTTGCAGTCGAAGGCCTCAAGTCCATACAATAAGTGATGTTGCCCAAAACTGCCAAAGCCAGTGGCTTCTGGAACAGCTGGTCTAGGGTCTGGATATTATGACCCTCTAGATCGGAGAAAAACAGCTTAGATGCATCCCGCATGAGCCAGTATATATGATTGTTCTCATAGTCTATAGTCATATGATCTGGGTTTGACTTGTCGTTCCAAAAGTGGGACACCATATCGACATCCATATATGATTTGTAGATTCCGTCCGAAAGCGCTGGATGGCTCCAAAACACGAAGGACCGCCGCGGATGCACAGCAAGAGCGCCTATTCCGTTTGAAGCCTTGAAGTCTTTGAGCTTGATTGGGGGTGAATCTTTCTCCAGGCGCGATACAAACATTCCATCTATGGTCAACCAGTAAAGATTGTCCGCAATCCAGTCTACTGCCAAACCCAGTATATAACTCGGTCGATCTGGGAATTCTTGAATCACTGTCGGATTGTTTAGGTTGAAGTCAAAACGGTAGATCTTATCATTTGTGGCGACGAAGACAAACTTTTGCTTGTAGTGAAAATCAATGGCAACTGGACTGCCTATTTTGTCAGCATAATTCGCACTCTGGCATGTAAACTGTGTTACCCCTTTAGTGGGAGACTTAGTCGAGTGGTAGGGGTTCGAATTTGTCACTTCAGGAAGGAGGAGGGAGTTGGGAGTAATGATGAACTGACGTGGCTCCCCCTCGCATGTAACTCCATCCGCAGATAGCCACACTCCTGGGGGGCACAAACATCTCGGCTCTCCCGTGTATGTGGGTACACATATGTAACTGCACTGTATGTCCGCACACTGGTCGGTGATTTCTACGCAAAAAAACATCCTCGTATATTCCAAACGACAATGATTTTGCGTATTTGCGACTCATTGTTTGATGTTCGATGGAACCACCACGCATGCCAAACTAGGGGTGCGTATCAGTAAACCGATTTACGTAATAATTACATCAATTGCGGAATTAAAGATTTATAGAACAAATGTTTCCTGAGCTAGAACAGTAATTTTACAAAAGTAATAACCACGGGGTGCATTGGAAGAGATATTTTATTCCATTTTTTTTATTCAATTTTTGTTCTGAGGGAAAAACTTGTCATTTTGTAAAAAACTCAGTTTTTAGCTAATGTGATTGCGTAATTGAATCATGATTTTTCGGTTTACTGATACATCGATTTACTGACCTACACCAAACTTACAGAGCAAAAAAAAGGTTTCATTGAAAAGTGTTTTTACTGGAAAAAAAAATGTGTTTACAACACACTTGCGCAATTAGCGTAGTGCCTATATTTCATAAAAAGGTAAAAGACCAAATATCTGTAAACCAGCCATAAAGATCTAGCTTAGTTAGTCAAACAAGTCTACTTACTTTTTACATGGGAGTAAGCTGCCAGTCTAGATACTGGCTCCTCCATCTTTTCGTACATGGGACTATTTCCAAAACCAGTGATGAGTCCGTGTTTGACTATTTGGATGTTGCGATCGGTGGCTGACTCAATAAAGTATATCAGTCCGTCGAGACAAGCCATTCCCGTTTCCGATACTCTGTTTCCAATATCTTTAAAAGAGACTGTCTGATCAACTTTGGGCCACGCTCTAACTTCCGATGAGAAATACTTCACCGTATTAAGCACTTCGCCTTCATTCGTGAAAACAATCGTTTGTTTCTGCAAATCTATCGTCAAAAGTGGGCGGAAAATATTTCTCAAATCTTTGAACTCATTTGCATCAATATCGCATGTAACACAGACATCCAACAAGACACGTCTTGAATTGGGATCTCCAGACATGTCAATTTGAGTAATAACTTCATGAACATCAAAACTTTTGTTGTGAATAAATTTCGAGCTTGCAGCAACCGGGACCTGCTTTATGTCGTCCCAGAAAAGAAGTCCAAGGTTCGGATCCACGAGTAGCGATCTCGGCTCAGTAAGATTCGCGGACACCAGAGTTCTAACATATCTCGGCTCGTCACAAAATTGAACTTGGCATAGCTGAATATATCCCCAATTTGCCACAAAAAAAATCAGCTGGTGTACATGATCTAATGCAAAGGCTTTCGTACTATAAGACTTCAAAAACTTTCTCACTACTTTGCCTGTTGCAATTTCTGCCTGAATCAAGCATACATTATCAGAGTCAAAGTAGACGACGCTCCTCGATAAGGGGTCGTAGTGCCAGAGAGAAAAAGGAGCGGCCGGTTTTACTGGCGCTATTTGCGGGTATTGAACAACGCCTTCTGAATTGAAGTAAACCACTTCCATCTTCTTTCCACTCGATATCAGCAACACATCGCTCCGTCTAATAATACAACGGGTTCTGTTCTCTGGATTTGGTTCATAGCCAAATGCACAAGTGCACAGGGGTGATCTGGACCATGCAGGGTCTGAGATATTTGCAGGAGGGAGGGAACAGCTGTGTTCACATATAGGGTTCCCTTCTTCGTCAGAGCAGAAGTGGCCGCTCCTCCGAGGCCTTCCTTGGTGGAAGACAGATAGAGCTTTAATATTGCTAATGGACCGAGTCTTGCCTTCTGAGTTTGATTGGTCTTGCGCATTGGAAATTTTAATGTGGGGTTTAAAAGTTTGGCATGTTTGCTTGTCTAAGGTAGCCGAGGAGTTTGGCTGTCGTAATTTGTCAGAAGTAGAAATGTGAAAAGAGGAGAGGTTAATTGCACATTGTGTTATTGTCGACATATTTGTGGTTATTATTGAGTGATTGAAATAGTCAAATATTGCGCTAGCATCTATTCTGCCATTACAGCAAACCTTTTCTAATGAAACGCCTTGGTCCGAGCCGCTGACTAAGTCTACTATTTTTTCTCCTGTCGTAAAGAGAAAATGCTCGGGAAGCAAAGATAGGACAATTTTGGACGGTTGGTAGTCATCGCCAACCATACTTTTTGTAATTACTGTGCCCCTTCCAGATCCGTCCATTCTCGACCGCTCCAATCTAAAAGGACGTGACGAACAAGCCCAATACAGATAACCCTGTTGGAAATCTATGGCCACATAACTGGGCAGAAAGATATCGGCCCATAGTACCGTTTCAATTCGTCGGCGATTCTTAGGATCCAAATCTATCGTTGATATAGAGTGAAGTTTGACATCTGTGAAATATATCTTTTCAGTTATGTAATCAACAGCAAGGCCATACGGTTCCTCGAGGCCGTCTACTAGAACAGAATGTTCACTTCCATCGTAATTGATACTTTGAATGGATCTGGTTGAAGGGTCCGTCCAGTAGATTCTGTTTGTAACAGGGTGCCAGTCAATATCTGCCGGTCCTTCTGGGATTCTCGAATAGGCACTCGGAAAATTGGAACTCCTTTCATTGAAACTCGAAGCAGTCACTAATTTTGTAGCACTTGGCGAGTTCGCTAACGGCAGAGCAATTTTAAATATACCTTCCGAGTTCGCCGCTATCAAAAATGGGTCTATTATCAGTTCACACTCCGTATCCATCACTAACCTGTACCCTTTCGGGCAAATACACTTGTAACTTTTGTAGGTTGGGAGACATAAGTAACTACATAGCTTTTCACAATGGTTGAACTCCTCTCGAATCGGTTGCCTGGACTTGTGGAACACTTTCAGGTCCATTGAATGCGAGTTTGGAAGCGACAGGTTGATGCTGGATCCCGTCATTATCGGAGCCGGATAGCTCGGGTTCATTCTGGCACTCAACGGGTACATTTCGTATACTATTTTACTTCTAGTTTCACTTATGTAAAGTCTGTTGTTGAAAATCTCGATGCCGAACAGCTTTTGATTTGCGAACTGCAGTTCCGTTGTGAGTAGGAACATGTCAAAAAACGAGGTGTCAGCTCTTTGCGATTCAATGTCTAGCACCGCTACTATTGAAAAATGGTTGTCACAAAAATACAAGAGATCTTTAACGTAGTCATAGGCCAAAGATGTCGGCGAGAACTTCTCAAATAGATTATTTCCGGCAGCTGTCTCCGGAAGTAAGTCGGCCCATCTTGAATCAGAGCCAGAAATAAGTTCCCGTAAAGACCCTTTATCTCCATTCATTGCCAGTTGAATAATACGGCCTTTTATGAATGGTCTTTCACATACCATAAGGGCTCCTTTATTAGGTACTGCTACTATACATGTGGGATAGTTTAAGTCGGTGTAAAGAGTTTGATTTTTGATGCCATCAAGAGAAGACACTACGATTGCACCTTGAGTTGATTCAGTCCAGAAGAGTAAATTGTGGATCCAGTCTACAGCAATGCCACCTAGAATGACAAAAAAAACATAGCCAACAGAAGAAATCTACTTAAAAATCAACAAAGTCAAACCGCGAAAAACCAAATTTGAGCGTGAAAAAAAAAACGACCTATACATGAGTCTTCACTAATTCATTGACTTTTAAGTAGATAAATATATTTGAAAAAATGCATTATCAACCTTTGCATGGCAAACTATTTGTTTAGACATCATAATCAACACACATGCGAAGTGGTGCTTCACATCAATTAAAATAAGACACAGAGGCGAAGCTGAGCTTCGGAACACTTGCGACACAACACAAAAAAATCGGAAAATCAAAAATGTCGAAAAAACCAAACCTATCATAACGAATAAGGCTAGTTTTAAAAGTAAAACATGCCGAGACAATAGAATGTGCAAATAGCATCGGAAGATATTTTACCCAGCGGTAACAAAGCCGAATTACCTTGGCAGAAACCATTTAAACCGGAAAAAAATCAAAACTTCAGACTTATGAAAAGTTAATAAGTCCCATTCAACCTCAAAAAACTTAATTTGCTGATCAAATGGGGCAATATGAGACAACTAAGCCGATTTAAAATAGACCGAAACCTAGTAAACCCGAAAGAGGAACATGAAAAAAGCCAAAAAAATAATTCAAAAAATTTAAAACTAATAATTAATCCTCCCTCAACCTCAGAACACAGACAAGCACACACACACACGCACATACACACTTTTCCCGCTCGTGAGGCCGAAATAACATAGGCCGAAACCTATCAAGACGAAAAAAAAAAGAAAAACGAAAAATGAAATGTTGTCATGAAAAACTTGAACTATAATTTAAGACTTTTAGCATTTTGTGCAATCCAGAAGGGAGCATAAAAATCGTGCTTCCATTGAAACGACTCGAAATTATGTCACTAAGCCGACGAAAAAGAGGCTGAAATCATTTGAGCGGAAGAAAGTTTTAAGCGAAAAAAAACAAAAAAGAAATATATACGATCTCAGGGTTAAAAAAAATTACAAACAAACAGATGTTAAATGTTAAAAAAACTAAAACTCAAATAGGCGATTTAGTTTGCTGGTAAAAACAAAGCGGAAACTAAGCCGACAAAAATTAAACCGAAAGCCACAAGTCGAAACATCAGAAAATGCCAAAGAAACATCATTACAAAAATTTGAACTGCGAATTTATTGAAAAACACTGCTGAGGATGCACAGTGGGAGAAATAGGCCAATGAGCGCAAATAGACGCACATACTGCAGGCATGTTGTGTACTGCATGCATGCTGAAATCTGTTAACAAAGTTATCACAAGGGTAAAAAAGAATTAAGAAAATCAACATTAACAAAAATAGTGTTTAGGAACAGTAGTAATGATATGCTTCTGAATCAAAAACCGAATGAATTATGCCATTAATTATAATGAACTGTGAAACTTTCGGTGATATTAGTCTAATTCATTCAAGCGCGTATTACCAGCTTTTTACTCGTATTATATCATTTAAGAAATTCTGGCAACAATAAGGCAGTTTCGTTGAAGTTATGAACTGAAAAGTAATTAAAACCCAGGTCGCTTACCGATTATTTTGCCAATATTAATCGTCAATTCAGTCTTCATGCTGACTACATTGTATCTCACAATATTCTCTCGTGTTTCGTCTACAAAATACAGCAGTGATTTCTCAACGTGCATTGCTAAAGGAGATGAACTGCTCAAACCCTCCAAGTATGTTCTGGAATGTTCCGGATCGGGATTGGGTTTGAACAAATGATTGCCCCCAGCGAGATTCGAACCGCCGACGTTCAACTCTGTTTTCTCTGATGGTAACTTAAGTGCGGCTAGACTTCCTCCTATTGCAAATAGACGCGCTTGGTCGTATCTTGAATTGTCTTTTGCGATGCATGAGAATTTGTCAACTGTGGAAAGCGAGAACCCTGTCAAGCACGAGCACTCCTTCTCCTCCGAAACTTCCGACTCTTTTTGAGCACAAATGTGATCACAAGCTCCAACACAACTGTCTTCTTTTGCATAGTCTGTTTCGTAGCCTAGGAACAATAAACACATTAAGCTTAACTTGCCTCTATTTACTTTGATTCCTCGGCTCAAGGTAACACTCCACCTACCTAAATATACCAAATTGAGATCATGCACCGAGCTACATAATTAAGATAACATTTGCTTAATGGCGGGTGTCAAAAGCTCTACTCTGGTAAACGTAGCCAACAAACATTTGTAACAGTGTAATTGAACTCGAGGAAACAGAACAAAATTATTGAGCGGTGGTGCAGTGGTTATGTCTTCGCCTCTCAACCAAAAGGTCGGATGTACGAGGCCCATAATGATCCGCGCTCTTTGCTTGAGGATGAGGCAACTTTACCCAGTTCAAAAAAATTAATGTAATTCTTAAGCAAAGGCGCAACAGCAGTTCTCTGAAGAGCCGAACAGCTCGTATTTGGTTTTCCCTTTTCGAAGAACTGTCGTAAATGTATCGTCTGAAATTTATTACAAATCGTCTTAAATTTCACTATTTGAACCCTTCAAGTCATTTTAAACGGTTGGGATACAACATCAACATTTCTTTATATAAAAAAAATGAATTCAGGCAAATGGGTTAAAGCCATAGAAGTTCCGCATCCTACGTCTTTACATGACTCATAATCACAAAATATCTTTTGTTTTTTGTCCTTAATTAGGATGACGCGTTGAATAGATATAAGGCTAAAAAGGAGGTCACTACCGAACCATCTATGTCATAAAATAATCAAAGACTGCTCCAATTTCGCACCTGATTTCGGCTTTACAATCGCTTTACGACCGAACCAACAAACACACCTCGTTTCATCCCCCCTTTTTCGACATTATGCGTCGAAATGCAATGAGGCCTACATAACACTACCATCTGATTTTATAATGAGTAAACAACATCCGTGCTACCTGTAAATTTGTTCACACAAGGTAATTGTACTGAATCTCAGAAGAGCTAATTAGTAGGTGTACTGGTACTCAAAACGTACACGCGGCGGTATCTACGTCATTGGGTACCATATACCTGATTTAACGCTTAATGCGTCAGCGCAGTTAAGAACCTCTCACAAGCTCAAGGTTGAGATCAAGATGTGTACCAGTTATGTCTGATTGGCCGTCTAATTTAACTTTTTCACGTCTAATTCACGTTTTTTTTTTACCATTTCCAGTTTCTTAGTTCGAGAGCGTAAATTGCCTTCATTTTAGCAAATGATTTTACATCATTTCAAAAAGATATGAAAAGCCAAACCACAAAACAAATCCGATATCAAAACTGTTGTGCACAGTTAAGATTAATAACTCAGTCGTCGTCATCTAAATAGGGATTCGATTAAATTCTCTGAGATGACGAACAGCAACATTACAGCCAATAGGAAGAAAGAACACAATATTAATCACAACGGCACTCCAATGCTTTGAAATCAGCCCAAATTTTCCTACCGCAACTCTGTTTTTTTTATCAAAGAGTCAATGAACGCAAGGAAACAGAAAAACAACTGACTGGTTTTGAAAAACTTCAACTTTTGATTTTCGAAGTAGAAAAAAACTTATGAACATAAAGCTCTTTGGATTTCAAGAACAATTTATAACTGAAACTTTATCGATTAAAATAACTCAATTTGAGAAAAATGGATCGAGTGGTATAAAACTTGTATTAGCGATGGGATATTAGAAGTCGATCATGTTTTTCCAGTTCATGTCTATCATGTTTTTACTGTGACCTTAACAGTTTTGCTGTTCTATAGAGGAATTTGGCTTCATTTCTGAAAAAGGAAATGAAATGAACCTAAAAACAAATCAAATGTCAAAAATCAAACTTGAGCGTGAACAATTTTTTTCCTGAAAAAAGAAATATCATCACAACCTAATTAAGCCTTGACTACTTTCACCAATTCTTAAAAAAAAAATCAAAAAGTGGCTGAAAAAAGCAAAACTGGACAACACCCTTACAGGGCATTAGTTTTTTTTAAATAAATTTGATAATCGCACGCAGGTATTGTCCACAATGACCACCAAAATATTCGCCTTTGGTTGCATTTTCCGACATCCACCTAAAAATGACAAACTCTCAGATTGTTCCATGCGCTTTTGGCGCTAAAAAATAATACTGGATAAGAGCTGGCAAAAAACGCACTTTTTTTAAATTCGATATCTTCTAAACACTGTACTAACACCTCACTTTTGGCCGGTTTGTTTCTCGAGAAAATCACTTAGGGTCGTTAATATTTGACAAAGAGGTGAAGAGGAGCAACACTAACAACACAACACAAACATGGCATTGAAAGATAGCCGATAGTTAAAAAAACGGAAACAATTAAGTAAAAAAAAACTCGAAAATGCTACATCTCAAAAAATTCGATGCATTTGTCTCGAATGATGTTCATTTTGAGTAAAAACCAGCAATACTTGGTCACCCACCCACTGAGCCAGAACCTGAATTGTCATAAAAATTTTGAGCGATAAATTTTCCGAGCTCTAAAATTTTACACATTTAACAATTATAGAACTACAATGAATTATAGTAAATTTCGCAAAAATCAGAAAATTCAATTTTACACAGGCGACTGTTTTACACGCACCACTTAAGATACAAGAAAAACATAAAACATAGGTCGAAAAAAAATGAAAAAGGTTGAAAAACTAGCTGGACCAAAACTTTCGATTGTCTCGATTAAAGAACGCTAGGGGCCAAGCTACAACTGGAAGTACCTTTTAATAATTTTTTGTTTGAATTTGTTATACTGCTGCGGGACAAAATGATTTATTTCAAAAATTGAGCTTTGCTCTCTACTAAAATAGGTTGTTTCTCTAAAATAAGTGAGACGAGTGAAAATTTTTAGGATATTGGAAATTCCGAAGGAGGTAACATTTCTCTTAAAAACAAATAAGAAATCGCCACTTCCGCAAGAAAAGTTATCGCAACTCGTTCTTTCAATTGAACTTTTCATCTCAGATTTGATAGGGTAGTTTTTAGAAAGTTCTGAAAACTTGACCTGAAAAATGTCACGATAGTTTTCGAGTAAAGCCAAACTGTCAAACTTTCAAAACTTTATCTTATTTGAAGGCCATAACTTTTTGCTGAAAAAAATCGGGCGTAGCCATTTATAAAGGCAGGAATTCAACAACCTATTATTTCGAGAAAGCCTACAAAATTAGATTTGGCTAGTTCTCGAGAAAAGTCAAAAAATTTGAAAAAACGGCCAAACAAACAACTTTGACTCTTCTGAGGGCCATAACATTTTGTGTCAAGAAAACTTAAGCGTAGCCACGTATACAAAGGACCTTCACCTTTACAAAAGAGCCTTCGGAACAACAGGTTTATAAATGGCTACGCCTATTCCCGTTCTTTGGACCCAAAATCTCAGAAATGGGAGGGCAGTTTTCGAGAACCTGAAGTTATCTTCTTCGGAAATTTTTTTGACCGTGTTTTTTGAATTTTTGAGAAGGCGATAACTTTGAGAGGGCTTCTCAATGAAACCAAAATCTCAGCTTTAGGAGGGTAGTTTTCGAGAGCATAGCAAACAAACAGTTGGAAAATAGTCATGAACGCATGAAAAAACTTACTTGTTTTTTGATGAAACTTAAATTCCGAAATTCAAAGAAAAAAAATATGGCCTTATAGCTTTTAAATTTCAAGAACAATTTATGACTGAAACCTCTTTTTGATAGAAATTAATCTAATTTGAAAAAAAAACTGGATCAATACTTAAATTATTCATTCCGCTGTGAAATCTGTAAATTAAATTCCAAATTCGAAACTAAAAGTCGACCACGTTTTTCGTGACCTTTTAACTTTTGCAGTTCGATTGAGAAGTTAAGAAAAGAAAGGAATTGAACTGGAAAAGAAATCAAAAGTTAAACGGCGAAAAATCAAATTTGAGCGTGAACAAATCATAAAATTTTTTCATGAAAAAAATAAATATAAAAAAAATTGCCACGACGAAATCTCTTAAAAACAAAAAAAAAATCAGTGAAACTATGGGAGTATGCAGGCACAGACGGAGTAAGCGGTCTTTCGATTGATATCTTTTTTTTAAACTTTGCAAAAAGTGAAAAAACATTTCTCAAAGCGTCAAAAAATAAAATAAAAAACCCAACCGAATAACTTTCATAATACCAGTTTTTATCAAACAGGAATTCTAGGCATACATGCCGAGCAAGAAAGTTGAATTTCAATTAACAACGGAACAAAACGAATGAAGCAGAAAGAAAGCCAAAAAAATTGACATTATCGAGTGCGGAGTTAAAAAAAGAAATGAATTGAACTGAGAAAGAAATCAAAATTTAAACGGCAAAAAAGTTCCAATCACCGAAAAAATTACAAGGAAGAACACTTGCAACTACCATGATATTTGCTAACAGTACAAAAAAATCCGTTGATGTGGCAACGAAGTCTAGTTCTCGATAAATGCACACTTGCTTCGCAAGTGATACAATCCGCACCACTCCTCGAGAAAATTCTTGAATTACTCGTGATTGCAATTATCATGAAAATGTTTCTTCTCCAGTTAAAATTATGGTCCGAAAAATATTATCGATTTTCTTCTGAAACCTAATTATCTCACCTTCAGGTAAGGTGTTCAGTCTGTTAACCCCTGGACAATCATTCTCATCAGCTGCGTCCATACACTGAGGGATTCCATCACAAAGCAGGTGTCTTTCTATACACCTCATCAAACCCTTGTCATCGAAGCACTTCGAATATCCCTTTTGCTCCATACACGCCGAGGCATACAGTTCTGATGTACTGTCGCAGAACGATTTACTTTCGTGAGAAGGTAGGAACGGAAAACAGGGGTGTATACTATTACATGTCTGGAATGTACCACAGCCAAGGAAGTCTGGACTGTTTTTGACAATCGAGGAGCACAGATTCTTGACCCCTTTGCAGAGACACTGCTCCTCATCTGATCCCCCGTCGCCGCAGTCGTCCACCCCGTTGCAGCGTAGCTCCTCTGGAATGCATTTGTTTGATTGCAGACAGTGGAACCAGCCATCTGGGCACGAACAAATTGCGTCATCCTCTTCCTCTCCGTTCGGACAGTTGAAAGCACCATCACAAATGAAGAATTCTCGGATACATCCTGAGCCTTTCACGAGATGAGATAGTTTTTTCAACCCCTCTTTGCTATTTTCACCTTCATTCAAAATTCGTCTAATGTGAGACGTATCGTGGCATGGAAATTGAAACTCCGACGCTCCACACGTTGCGTTGTAGATTTCAACCGCTGAAACAGCACAACATTTCAACCCATTTCCATATTCGATTGCAATACATAGAAATTCCATTTCCATATTCGACCCATATTCAAATTCAATTCATGCGATTGAAACAAGGTCAATTTTCTAATTAGCATCTCTACTTTCCTGTTTTTTTTTTTAAACCGTCAACATGATTCAATGTTCAGAATATAAACTTAGTCACTTTAGTCCAATTTCACTGCTGAAGGGAAAGGTAATTGAAACCTAAATTCGCCTTTGCCACGCACTTTGTTTTTCACCTCACTAAAAACAGTATCAATACATATAAATTTGGGACTGTGAAACGACGAAATTGATTTGAGTTTGCATAAAAATGATTATTTGATCTCTATTTTCCGAATCAGTTCCAGGTAAAATATATATGCAATGCGCAGTAATTGGAGTCGTGATTCAAGCTCCATTTAAAAATTTCCGCGAACATTTCCACATTCGAAAAAAAACAGACTTATCAGTTTTACTACTATGAATCTACTACCTTCAGACGGCAATAGTTCAACCAACAATTGTAATTGGCATCCTAATCGCTTGAAGAAAATAGAAAAAGAAAAAAACGAGAAAAAAAAATTTTAAATCGAATTTTTTATTCCGACCGCTTCACTACTTCAACCAAAAACTTGTTGGGCAAAACTGTGGCATTATATCAAAATTTTTTTGAGCCGTGACTTGGATTGCAAAAAAATCCGAATCTCCACTGCCGAGAAAATTGGTCTGAATTTTGCCGATTTTTACACCAAATTTCACCAAATTTTGTTGAAACTCACAATTCAATTTTGATGTTATTCAATTTAATTCTAGTGCAACTTGGACGTTATTTCAACTAAAATTATCTCTCATTTTGTAGTTTTTGTACCCAATTTAACAGCACTTTACAAAAAAAAGTTTCAATTTCTGTTTAATATTTTTCTCCATTTTTGAACTTCTTTACTTAAATCATGGTGGTCGAAGCATTCTGTGCTATTTGCACAGAAACATTCTTGTTATTTTTGCAATAACAGGTGTGGTTGAAACATCCGATGCTACTTGTACAGCACGCGGCTTTTCTTTCAATTTAAATCGATCATCTAGGAATGATTTTATAAATCTCAATATTTCTGAAAAAAAAAACTGGCTATGAACCCATTAACGCGTTTCTAAAAACATCGTATAAATAAATATTAAATCATTTTCTCGGTAATGTACACAACCTAAAAGGAAGTACATCATAATTGTCTGCAGTTAGAACATGGAATTTAGTTGGGTAAAAATACCCATTTTACAAGTCCTTCTTGATTTTATCGCCGCATTGCAGTCATTTCACCCCGGGCGGAGATAGTGTTGGATTTAAACAATAAACTCAACTCAGGGAAACTGGGGAGCAGTTTCGAAAAACGAATACGATTCGGGCTATAAATAGAAAAAGTACTAAGACGAAAAACTCCTCAACCTCTTTAGCAAGACATTTTGAGTCTAACCTGCAAAATAGCTATTCAAGCCAAAAAAAAATTTTCTAGTTCCTTTTTCTCAAAAATGAGTATCTAGTTTTTTCTACTAACTGTGTGTTATGTTGAAAGCACTGCGCTAGCAGCTTACATCAACAACAAGAGCAACGATTGTAATCTTAACGGAGACAATAGTTGCGATTAAACCGGTGAAAAGGAAGCAAAGCCCTTCTTTTGCAGCAATGTTGGCTTCCATTAGTTCAATCGATAGCCCACAAAAAACCTGCCACTGCAACACAGACACAACGTCAATTCACATACTCAGATATGTCAGCATATGCATCATCACGATGACTATTAGCTGCGTCAAAAGGCTTTTCACCCCACACAAGTACCAGACATATACATATCAAAAAGCCAATTGTAGCCACAAAACTCGATAAAACAGATGCCAATTATTGTAATGACCGTTTTGGACAACCAGCTAGTAAAAAAAAGCTACACCCCGTAATAAATTTCAAAATACAACACAGAAAGAGTAAGCGCCAAAACTGCAGCTAATTCGTTGCAAGCATCAATTTTCAATTCGTTTCTCGTTTTTATCGGAGCACGAACAGCGGGTAGGAAATGAAAATTTAGAAAGAAAAGAGTTTAACCCTAACTTCATACGTCAGTTAGTTTAGAGATAACTCCGAATTAAATGGACGTCTTGGTGGGTGGTCGTCTTTTTTAATTTAAGATGAAGAGAGGCGAAATAATTGGAACGAATGTTTGAAGATCTAATCTTGGTGGTTGACACTTATCGACGCATCAGGAAAAGATGAATCGCTACCATGGGAATTGAAGATTTACTTATATTGAGAGTAGATATATACGCATATCTGCAGAGCACGCCTTAAGTACAAGCCATCTGCGCTTCTATTACCAACTTAAATCCCCAATCATTGATTGATATTGAGAGTTAATCAACTTCTGAAAAAAAACCGCAAATGAAATTTGCAGCATCAAAAAACAGCCTCGCACATTAAGGGTGAACGCCAAACTGAATGTCACTTTAAGAACCAACAGCCGGAAAAAACTGTGAGCAAAGCCCAATTAAGTACCAGTCTAATTCATTTTTCCTATGATTTCAATAATTGGTACGGTCGTAGGCTATTTAACCATTGGTAAATGAAAGAAATTGAGCTGTCTGCTAGTTTCTAAGGTGCGATCTCGACCCACGCTTTGTATCATTATTGGTGGTAAGCTTACCCTCGCGGTCAATTTATAACTTAATGCTAACAATATCCCCTCTAAGTCAGCTTACTATTACATAAGTACTAGTATAACTAACTGACATACATGCATAGGGTTACATGGTCGTTTCTTCCCTATAATTTCTAACTTTCGATCTGCAAGTGGGCTTGTCGCTTTCTAGGTACTATAACTTGGGGGGTCTTTGGATTTTGATGTCTATGTGCTAGGTTGTAATGTCTTGTCTTGTGTTGCTAATTTTGGTTTGCCTGTTTTGGCTTGCAGTCTTAAGTTAACAGATTTGATCTGCTTTGCTCGGCTTTCTTCTTTTCTGAAGTGTTTCAGCCACATTTGTCAATTTCTTAGCAGTTATTAGCAGTTGGCCTTGTATCTAATTATTAACAACAGGCTAACTGCATAATATGCCACCCACAGAACGCTAGAACAACACAGATCTGCCATGTTTTCAATCACCAACACCAAATCACCCTGAGCCTCTTCAACTATCCTAACACTCAGAAAACTTCATCAAGTTTTAAACCTAATTCATCGCATCCTGCGAAACCTATGAGAAAACATTTTTAACACGAGACAAAATGTTCAATTAACAAAAAAAAAAAAAAAAAATGCTTAGACGATCCAACCCAATAGGTGATCGCGCTACCACAGATTCAAAAAGTTTCGAACTTAAAAAGAAACCGGAAGTAAATTCGCGAAATACTTTTTTTTGAGCCTGAACAATTTTCAAGACTTTTCCTGAAAAAAAGAACGAAAAAAAAAAAGCATCGCGACCTATATAAGAGTCTGAACTGCGCTCATCGACTCTCAATAAATTTTAAATCATATTAAATTAAAAGCCATAAGAGCCTTGTGTCAATAATAGTCATAATTACGGTGAAACTCATCCATTAGGTATTTGGTGACATTTGGCTGGTCAAAACTAATAACTTCCGCCGACAACTCAATCAGAGGTCATTTCATTTCTGAAGGTCCCGACAACCAAACAGCTCAACTTGATAGCATAATTTCTGGAACTTATTAATTCCATCCATTAAAAAACCATAGCCAAAAGAGTTGGAAAAGAGTCAAGGAACTCAAGTAACAAAAAAAACGACATTCTTTTTTGTAATTTTTTGAAACTTTCGCGAATTTCGGGAACAATTTATGATTGACACCTTTTTTGATAAAATTAACCCAATTTGAAAAAAACTGGATCAACTTTCGAAACTAGAATTCGATAACGTTTTTCGTGACCTTTACACTTTTGCTGTTGAATACTGGAGTTCGCCTTCCCTTTAAGAAAAGAAAAAAAAGTCAAACCGCGAAAAATTAGTTTTGAGCATGAAAAAGATTTAAGACTTTTTTTAGAAAAAAAAGAAAAAAAACATCATCGCGACATATATAATAGTCTGAACTATGATCATCGACATATAAAAAAATCAAATCATATTAACCTTAAAGCCTGAAATTTTTCAAAATATTATCACAACACATCATTTAACATAGCCAACAGATTGGTGGAAAAGAGTCAACGAACGCAAGGACAGAAAAAAACTGACTTTTTGAAGAAAAAAAAACACTTAATTTTTCTAATTGTAAAAAATATATGGCCTTAATGCTCTTCGTATTTCACGACGAATTAACAATTGAAACTTTTTTGATACAATTAACTCAATTTGAGAAATCTGGATCAAAGGTAAATTTTTAATTCCGCTGGAAAATCTGAAAATCAAAATCCACTTTCTAACTAGAAGTCGTTCACGTTTTTCTGCCCCATTTCCACGTTTATATTTGGCAAACTTACTTTAGCCAACTTTTAGCAGATGAATTTGAACTGAACTAAAAAAAAATATATATAATTAAGAGCATTCATATGCACATTAATATGTATAAATATGTGTCTTCTTACGTTCAGTGACTTTTTGAAGTCATTTCAACAAATAAACGAAGACCGAAGAGTAGTTGGATCAACTAAACAACAACAAAATCCTTAACAAGTATAGCCGGTGTTCCGACCATATTCATAAGAACTACAAATAAAAATTCTTCAAATTAGTACATTCTTCAAATAAATGTCTTTTTTTTCTACGCTGTGATGATAAAAACATACAAACGCGTGAAAAATTAGTAAATTAAGCATAGTCAGCAACATCTGTCTTCAAAAACAAAATAAAAAAAGTTTTTTATTCTATTTTTCTAACAGTATCTTTAATTTTAAAAAAATTTCTTGCCAGGAAAACCCATAATGTAGCTTTAGCAACTAATTTCCGTCTGGAAAAACTAGCCTAAAAACCTATTTAACAGGTTATCATCAC